GGTGCTGCCGCGGGATTGCACCAGCTGGGCAGCAGCCCAGACGCGACTGGCCAGGGGCTGGGCCCAGTGTGCGCGCTGCTAGGTCCCTGCAGCAGGCCCCGGCTCGGGGGGTTCGGAGGCGCCGCAGCCGCGGAGCGCCATGGCCGCTTCCTCCCCCGCGGCAGTGGGAGCTGCAGCAGCGGCTGCTCCCGAGTCCCGCTGCCCGGGGGGACAACAGCCGCCGCCTGGCCCCGCAGGCCGCCCCCCTCCTCTCCCAACCACCCAACTGAGTCCTGCCTGCTCGGGGCCAGGCCGGACTGTTACTCACCCCGGCCCCGCGCTTCCCCTGCGTCTCCCGGGCCTCCCTCCAGCGCTTGTGGAGGGAGGGGAAATGGTGAGCCTGGGGAAGAGGCGGGGATTCAGGGAGGGAGCCAATCGGGGGAGGAGGGGGCGGAGTCGGGGCGGGGGGTGTGTGTGTGCGAGCACTTCCGGGCTCTAGGCTCCGGGGCATTTCCTTGTTTGTCCAGTGTCCCGACCGCATGTCGGTCGGGACGCGGGACAAACAAGGAAATATCGGGACAGTCCCGATAAAATCGGGACGTCTGGTCACCCTATGCTTTACTTCACTCTACACGTCTAGTTGCTATTCTTAATGTGTGAGGGCCCAATACTGATACATCTATTCCCTGGAGTAGGCTCATGGCACAATTTTCAAAAGTGCTTAAGTCCCATTTTCGAAGGGACTTGGGCTTGTAGTGGGGTGGTCCCCCGCTCCTGCCTGGAAGGGCTTAAAACAACCCTGGCAGAGGGCTGCAGCTCTAAAAGCTGGGCTGATTGGGGAAGCAGCCACAGCTGGGCCATGCCCCAATCAGGCCACAGCTGGCCTGTATAAAAAGGCTGGGAGCCAGCTCAACCGTCTCTCTCTGTGCTCAGAGAGAGAAGGGCCTGGCTGCAGGGAGCAGAGACAGGGTACCTGAGTGGAGCAGGGCTGGGGAAAGCCTGGAAAGCCCCAGGCTGTGGCCTAGTAGGAGGCCAAGAGGTACCGGGGGTTATAGAGGGCAGCCCAGGGATAGGCCAAGGCAGCAGGTCCAAACCCAACCTTGCCTGTGATGAGTGGCCTCTACTGCAGTCTGCCCCAGGGAGTGGGGGCTAGTTGGTGCCTGGCAGTGGCCTTATTCTGAGGTGAGGTAGGGATAGTGGGTGGGGGTTCCCCAGGGAGGGGAGACCCTAGTACTGAGGGGTGTACTGCCAGGGGGCAGCACCCCAGATAAAAGGGCACAAGGGTATGGGAGGGACACGAGGGCTGGAGGACAGGTGGACCACTGGCCTGCAGGGGGCGCTCCAATGCTGAAATGAGCTAATTCCCAGAGATGACCAGCAGGAGGCACTGCAGGGGTGAGTCCACTCCTCTACAGGGCTCTTAAAAACTTAACATTTGATTAAAAAAACTAATGGGAATAGGCTCCTAAGTCATTAATGTGCTCTTGAAAATTTTACCCTCCATGACTTCAGCAGGAGTATTTGGGTGAGCAAGGGCTGCAGAATCAAGCCCTTACTAAGTAATGACTGTCGCCTGTCCTCTACTTAGCCTGGAAGGGTAACTCTGTGCTTCTATTCCTGACTCCTTCAGCTAAAGCAACAGATTTCTTTGAGATGCTAGCGTGTTTGATCCAAGTTTCCACACAGCCTCAGCAGGGATGGCTTCTGCGAGGCACACATCAAATCAAAGAGCTGGACTTAATGCTGCTGTGATAATTACTAATGTGGATTTCTGATGTAGAAATGGACCCAAATCAAAGCCCACATGCAAACACCCTCCAACTGGGAGGGAAGTCTGGGCTAACTTTGGAGTCTGCATATTATCCAGGAGATGGCATGTGTGTGGTTTGAAAAGGATGCTATCTCCAAATCAGTAGGGGTTTCTAGTTCAGCGTGTACAACAGCTTTACTGCATAATGAGATGCTAGAGGAAGGCAGGAGGCTCAGTGTTTTGAAATATAGCAACTATTTTCCAGGTCAATTGTTCTGCAAAAAATTATTTGTTACATATTAATTAAAGACAGATGTTCGCATTTTTAGCCTGGCCTGTTTTTGACTTTACGCTGTCATTCTTAGGGGTTTGACCACATGACCAAAAACTCTGCTGGAATGTACTCAAAACCACCAGGGGGTTGAATGGTGCAGCATCAGTGCTATTAGACAGTTTGTAGGGACTTTGTAACATGCAGCCCCTTTGCAGCTTCATTAACCTAATTGCAACAGCCCTTCCTCATGCTACTCCAATTGTTTCAATGTGCTGAATGTATTTCACTTCCTCTTTGAGCATTTTTTTTCTTTCTCCAGTTTCATTGACAGGATGAGTCACACATGGCAAGCATTATTTTCCCAGCACGGTAAGTTGGACCACATCTCTCTCCTTTTAGAAAAAGATCTGCTTTACGGTATAAAAAATGGAAATAGCAATCAATCCTGCAAACACGTATGCATGTAATAAGGCCCATAGACTCAGTGTGACTACTCATGCCTATGTGTTTGCAGGATCAGGGTCCAGGTAACTAACACTGTGGTTTGCCATTGCAAGTATTTGTGAAACAAGAATGATCTAACATCTGATGTGTGTGGAGTTAATGAAGCACAGCTGGGTGATTTAAGAATTGAGTGGAAGCCAAGTCTCTGAGCTGCCTTGATTTTGTTACTTTGTGTGTCACACTTTTTATTTTAAAACATAGCTTTTATTTACTACAAGTCAGAATAAAGGCTTGAAAAATAAATAAATGCCCTTTTAAACAAAATACATAAAAGGGAAAGGGGCAGTTATTAAAAGAGAACTTGAATTGGGTTATCTTTCTGCATTTTCATGTTGGGCACAAATTGTATCTTAAATACAGGGGCTGCGATTTCAAAGCTGGTAAAGAGATTTGGACATCCAATTCCAATCAAAATTAATGGTGCATTCAAATCCACTAGGTGGCTTCTAAAGTCTCCAGTCTGTAGAAAGTAGCACATGGGGCGGGGCGGAGGGGAGCATTTAATTCCTCAAAATAAGCTGGGATGCCGGCAAAGGCAAATTTTGTGATACGTTGACTCAGGGAAGCCACAAGTCTCCCAACTTACTCAAGATTTTCCTGCTTGGCAAATCATTATACAGTTGTTCGGCATTGATCTGCAAGGCCCTGTAAAATTCTTGACAGTGTTTGTCTCCTTTCTTTTGTAGGTGGCTTATAAGATCTGACAACCGAATATGAAGCAATGCCTTTGGATTTCTGAACTGTAAGAGAAAAAGCAGTCATTAGAACAAAGACTACAAAAGCAATGATACAGTGCTAAATTAGTTCCTACCCTACAGTTACATTATAAAAGTGAAAATACAGAGTTATGTTTATTTTGCTAAAAGTATCTGTCAGTACATGAGTATTCTAGGATAGGAAACAAAAATAATGATTAAGACCTCAAATGTCAACATCTACAATTTGAACCAGCTGCTTAACTTAGTTTGATCAAGCATTGTTTTAGCATTTGATCAACTGCAGTGTAGCCCACACAATAGGAGAGGTAATTGATGTTTATAATTTCCCAAGAGTTTGAGTTAGCAAGGAACCAATTTATTGTAAATATAGCACCAATAGAAATACTTTCGATGCCATTGGCTAAAAGTTCTCTACTTCTAATTTAGTCTTATTAAAAATGCACATCTCAGAACTGGGATGAAGATGTAAAAATTTTCCACAGTTTTCTGGAATTTGGCCAGGACATATTCTAGCCATCATGACAGTCCTAATGCATCACTCTTTGTGTTCATCTTGTCTTCCTATCCGTGTTGCTACAGAGGAAGAGATGATCTTCCCCATGGTCTGACAAAGTACTGAACAGCACTAAACCTTCCAGTGAGAGTGAAAATGTTACACCTAGCCTTAACTGAAATCATTTAGACATGTGTGCATCTGGAAAGTCTCCAAAAACATCTCTGGCAAATTAATATGAAAGCATTACACTTAGGACCAGTAGGGTAGAGAGAGAGAACATTACACTTAGGATCAATTCCTTATCTAGAGGGAGAGGAATGCCTTTGTATGCTCCTTACTCAGGCAGAATTCCCACTGAAGCCCTGAGAGGCCAGCAGTGTAAGGTGTGCAAGCTGGAGCCTAATGTGTATAAGGGGAATGATACATTTTGTAAATAAAAAGAACAAATGTGCATGAGCTCAAGGGAAAGTGTTCAGTTTCAGTATGAGTGTAAGAGCAGCATCTAGCTTTCATAACACCAGGACTTAAATTTACTCTGAATCCTAAATGAATGAGCCTTTCTTTAACTGTTTACATCTCACATCACCTAAGTCAGGCCTCTTCCCCTAAGTATGCAGATAGACTGGTTCGGAATCTGGTCTGACAGACACCGTCTTACACTGCAATAACTCCACTCGTTTCAGTGGTGGCTGATCGAATTGAAACTGGTGCGAGACAGGATCCAGCCCATTATTTTGAACTCTAAAGGTTTGATTCACCATTGCCCTCTGCATCTTGCATACAGAGCGAGTGCAAACTATTACCATTCTGATGTGCTGGCATTTTATATCCGCTTTGTACTGACATAAATCATTTTGCACCCAAAAGCAGGGACCACTTTGAAAAGGCTGGCTTTTCTGCCTCAGGCCTGATCTATAGTCCAAATTGTCCCAGTTTAACTAAGGGTATATTTTAAAATCCGTTTAGTTAAACCCTTGTCTGGACACACTTAAATCAATTTAAACCTGGCTCGTATTGATTTAGCATGGGGATTTGCTTTAAAAACATACCTTTCATTAAATTGGTGCAACCTTGTAATAAAGACAAGGCCTCAGTTCCTCATGATCTCCATTTCCCAGATAATATTTTCCTAACGCACAGAGATGTGGTAAGGAGAGATTCATTAATAGCTGTGAGGCTCTCAAATACTACAGTGATGAGTGCACATTTTGTAGACCGTAAGAAAGCAAAGGGGTAACCATTCAGAGGTTTAGGGATTTGTCTTTTAGGTTGGCGTGGGCACCTTCACCAGTTGGTGTTCTAACCTAGATGCAGGACAGCCAGAAAATAAATATACATCCTGAAATATTGCAGGAATATCCAGTCACTTACCTTTTCTGCTTCTTTATTGGTGAGAATTTGGGGATAAACTCTGTTTAGCTGAAGAATAATTTTATCAACCAGATGCTCGCTCAGTCTGCCATTTCTCGTGAGAAAGTACATGTCCTGCCTCAGCCGATCACAGTAAGATGGATCTATGAACCAAAAAGCACGCAGAAAGAACCACTATTATTTGATGGCAAAACTATTTGTAATTTCCATAAATTGCCTCTTTTGTGATGAAGGTAACACAGGTAAACCAACTTTGTTTCATAGTCCTAAAGTGTAAAGCTAGAAGGGACCACCAGATCCCTTAGTCTGATCTCCTGCACATCACAGGCCACCAACCCACCCAGCACCTGCACATGAAACCCAACAGCTGAAAGTAGATGAAAATATCACAGACCACGGGAGACTAGACTATTATGTGCCACAGGCAGAGAACAGCAGGGACCAAGGTGCAGCCGTGTTCAGAGCTCCATAATGGCTGGGAAATTATTAATAGCATAACTAATTAATAGGAGTGCTTCCCAAACTTTTGCAAGCTAAGCCGGCTTTCAAGAAAATGCAATCAATTGTTGCCCCCCTTCCACCTCACCATATGCTCCATATGTTGTCAAGGGACCATCCATCTGCAATCATACATCTTCTGCACCTCCTCCACCTCTTTCCCCTCAGCAAATCTTTTGCACTCACCCTCCCTCTCCCAGAGGAATGCACTCCATACTTTGGGAAATGCTGACCTAAGATATTTATATACTACCAAGGCACTAATGGATGTATCAAATATCACCATTGCATCCACTTGTCAGAAAGATGTAACACTGCTGAAGGGATGGGGTGGAAAATACATTTCCTACCTTTTATAAATATTAAAGCAAGTTGTAATGTTTTAAACTATTTTAAAAACTCATTAATATAAAATCTTCTTTATCTCGCAGTGCTACCCACTATCACTTAGAATAGTAAAAAGGCACATCACTGAAATATTGCACATACATTATTCTCTTCTTCCCCCACTGGAAATGCAGCCGTCCCGCTTATGGCAACTGTACACAATAGTTTAGGGCAGGAAAGGAAGATGTCTACCATAGCCAGTCAGAACTGCTGGGGGAATTTAGTTAGATTGAATGAAGGAATCCTGCAGTCCTGACTCTGTGCTGACATCCAGGCAAAGTTCCCATTGACTTACTGCCAGTTTTGTCTGAACAAGACTTGCCACAAGGTATATTCCCAAAACTGAAATGCAGCCAGGGTGTTAGGAATAACATCTCTGCTAAAGTGCCAGGGAGTTCTTTATAGCTTTTATGTGACATACCAGGGTACAATCCAGACAAATGAGCAGCTGTGTCGCCCCCTGCCCTGCACCCTTAGGTGCCTTACTGTGGGCCACTCACAAGCAGCCTTCCAGCATGCAAGCCACACCCTGAGCATTTGTGTGTCAGCCACACTTGGGTTACACTCCGGCTCTCACCAGCCTGGGTTATACCGTAAGGTGACCCCAACACACCCCCAGTCTTAGAATTTGCTCCAGAAGTGTCCTGTCCTTCTCAGCCCTCTCCTGGGCAGTACAAAATATTTTAAGTCTGTTATTCCTTAAAGGGAATAATATGCATCTTTACACTCCATTTGGGAAAAGAGGAACTTCCAGTAGCAATAAATCCCTTCAATGAAAGTGCATAAAATACAGGTAGAAAATAATTAGAACTTCAAAATAAAATGTATCATGTAAATTAAGTCCTTTGTAATCCTCAGTAAATTCAAGATTCCTGGGTTCCTGCATTGTTGTAGGCATCACTTCCAATTTTCCAGTAATTGCTTTTGCAGGAGCTTTCTCTTTAGAGCACAACATTCAACTAAAAATAGTTTGGATTGCTCTATGGCTATTTGTGTCCCAAATTTTAAAATACAGATCCATGCAGATTTCACAAATTATTGTTCCTTAGCTAGACTTTGAAAGAGGTGTTTATTCAGAACCATATTTGGTTAAAAATGCATGGTTCTATTACTGTCTTCTACATACTTAAGCATTCATTCTAGACATAAGAGGTACTGCAAATTGATCTGACTAGTGTAGGAAAAGAAACATGTAGTATATCCCAGGGTATATAGGTATCATTAAACTATATGAACAGGTTTTGTTGGTATTTTGGGCAACTAGACAGTATGTGATCCTGCCTAGCCTCCGTGCTTCACTAGCTAGACATGGTGAACTAAACGATGACGGGACAGCCTGAGCACAGAACCTTGACGTGCTACTCTCAGTGTAAATGCAGCCCCTGACATTTACGTATCAGAGGTTTAGTATTACATTTCCTTTTCTACAGCTGTGCGGCACTGAAAACGACCAGGAAAGGCTTCATTAAAACCTCCCAGAGTAACAATAATACAGTCAGAGGGCTAGTCACTCCCACTAAAATAAAGACATGGTCTATTGATATAGGAGAGGGCTTGCAATTCCATAGACACAATTGGACTTCAGTTAGACTGTTACTATTTATCCAGTATAGTAAATACTTTTACCAACCCTATATCTTTTCCATGTATTTCTAATTCTTACTTTCCAAATTACGTGCTTTAAGCAGTGTGTATTGAACTGTTAGGATCATAGACTCATAGACTTTAAGGTCAGAAGGGACCAGTATGATCATCTAGTCTGACCTCCTGCATGATGCAGGCCACAATAGCTGAACCACCCCCTTCCCTTGACTCAGCTGTTGAAGTCCCCAAATCCTGTGATTTAAGGACTTCAAGTCGCAGAGAATCCTCCAGCTAGTGACCCCCGCCCCATGCTGCGGAGGAAGGCGAAAAACCTCCAGGGCCTCTGCCAATCTACCCTGGAGAAAAATTCCTTCCCGACCCCAAATATGGCAATCAGTAGAACCCCGAGCATGCAGGCAAGATTCTCCAGCCAGACCCTCTTTGACCATTGATACTATTTACCCGCGATGGCACGCTGTTGATTGATTGACTAAAATCACGTTATCCCATCAAACCATTCCCTCCATAAACTTATCGAGCTTAATCTTAAAGCCAGAGAGGTCTTTCGCCCCCGCTGTTTCCCTCGGAAGGCTGTTCCAAAATTTCACCCCTCTGATGGTTAGAAACCTTCTTCTAATTTCAAGCCTAAACTTCCCCACCGGTAGTTTATATCCATTCGTTCTCGTGTCCACATTATTACTGAGCTAAAATAATTCCTCTCCCTCCCTGGTATTTATCCCTCTGATATAAAGAGAGCAATCATATCCCCCCTCAGCCTTCTTTTGGTTAGGGTAAACAAACCGAGCTCCTCGAGTCTCTTTTCATACGACAGGTTTTCCATTCCTCTGATCATCCTAGTGGCCCTTCTCTGTACCCGTTCCAGTTTGAGTTCATCCCTTTTAAACATTGGAGACCAGAACTGCACACAGTACTCCAAATGAGGTCTCACCAGTGCCTTGTATAACGGAAGCAGCACCTCCTTATCCCTACTAGATATACCTCACCTAATGCATCCCAAGACCACATTAGCTTTTTTCACGGCCACGTCACATTGCCGACTCATAGTCATCCTGCGGTCAACCAGGACTCCGAGGTCTTTCTCCTCCTCTGTTACTTCCAACCGATGCGTCCCCAGCTTATAACTAAAATTCTTGTTAGTCATCCCTAAATGCATCACCTTACACTTTTCACTATTAAATTTCATCCTATTTTTATTACTCCAATTTACAAGGTCATCCAAGTCTCCCTGCAGAATATCCTGATCCTTCTCCGAATTGACAATACCTCCCAACTTTGTGTCATCCACAAACTTTATCAGCCCACTCCTACATTTGGTTCCGAGGTCAGTGATAAATAGATTAAATACAATGGGACCCAAAACCGAACCTTGAGGAACTCCACTGGTGACCTCCCTCCAGCCTGACAGTTCACCTTTCAGTACGACCTGCTGCAGTCTCCCCTTTAACCAGTTCCTTATCCACCTCTGGATTTTCATATCGATCCCCATCTTTTCTAATTTAACCAATAATTCCTCGTGCGGTACCGTATCAAACGCTTTACTGAAATTGAGGTATATTAGGTCCACCGCATTTCCCTTATCTAAAAAGTCTGTTACTTTCTCAAAGAAGGAGATCAGGTTTGTTTGGCACGATCTGCCTTTCGTAAAACCATGTTGTAATTTGTTGCAATTGCCATCGACCTCAAGGTCCTTAACTACTTTCTCCTTCAAAAATTTTTTCCAGGACCTTGCATACTACAGATGTTAAACTAACAGGCCTGTAGTTACCCGGGTCACTTTTTTTCCCTTTCTTGAAAATAGGAACCACATTAGCTATTCTCCAGTCCAACGGTACCACCCCTGAGTTTATAGATTCATTAAATATTATCGCTAACGGGCTTGCAATTTCTCGCGCCAGTTCCTTCAATATTCTCGGATGAAGATCATCCGGTCCACCCGATTTAGTCCCGTTAAGGTGTTCAAGTTTGGCTTCTACCTCGGATACGGTAATGTCAATCCCCCCCCTTTATTCCCCTCTGTCTCGCCGCCACTATTTCTAAGCCCTTCATTAGCCTCATTAAAGACCGATGCAAAATATTCGTTTAGATATTGTGCCATCCCTAGATTATCCTTTATCTCCACTCCATCTACAGTCTTCAGCGGCCCCACTTCTTCTTTCTTTGTTTTCTTCCTGTTTATATGGCTATAAAACCTCTTACTATTAGTTTTAATTCCCCTCGCAAGGTCCAACTCTACATGGCTTTTAGCCTTTCTCACTCCATCTCTACATGCTCTGACCTCAATAAGGTAGGTTTCCTTACTGATCCCTCCCCTCTTCCACTCTTTGTACGCTTTCTGTTTTTTCTTAATCACCCCTTTGAGACGCTCGCTCATCCAGCTCGGTCTAAATCTCTTTCCTACTAACCGTTTTCCCTTTCTCAGGATACAGGCCTCCGACAGCTCCTGCAACTTCAATTTAAAATAATCCCAGGCGCCATCCGCCTTTAGATCCATAAATATGTTAGCCCAATCCACTTCCCTTACCAGTCCCCTTAATTTATTAAAATTAGCCTTTTTGAAATTGTAAACCCTAGTCTCTGATTTATTTCTGCTAATCTTTCCATTTAGTTTAAATCGAATTAGCTCATGATCGCTCGAGCCAAGGTTGTGCCCTGC